ATCAAAAGAGTGAAAAATTTGTAAACAAATAGATAAATTAAGTGAACAACCTAACTACTACAAAGGGCATTTAAGAAAACCACTATTTGATATAATTCCTCTTGATCACTAGGTTCCAGATGAATTACATATTATGCTTAGAATTACAGATCAATTATAGAATCTTGTTATAATGGAATTGACAGAATACAATTTGTTTAATGATATTGCACAAAGTATTATTATAAAAGAAATAAAAAGAATTAATATAAACTTTCAATTCTGGCAAAATTGAGAATCTAAAAGTTGGGATTATACTTCACTAATAGGAGAGAATAAGCTCAAAGTATTGCAATTTTTTGATTTATTAAAAATTCTTCCAAAACATTATGCTAGTATTATAAAAGAATTATGGGTCAAATTTTATGAACTTTATTTAATGATCAAAGATTCTGAAACAAAAAGTAAACATTTTTACTATTATGCAAAAAATTGACTTTATTTTTATCACTATCAAAAGGAATTCCAAATACTCAAAAATTCAAAAAAGGTTTATATCAACCAGATAATATAATGCCTTATTCATATATTAGTTCACCATATTTCAGAATTTATGACGATTTATAATAAATAGAGATTGGCAGCATTTTCATATAGTGGAGTTAAAAAGAAAAATCACCAACAAGTATCATATTTTTTTCAAAAAATAATGCAAAATAATGATTCAATTTTCAAAATATTACTGCATGAAAATAGAATGCTTTATTATAATCAACATAATACTTCAATAAATTATAGCAAGCCACAAAAAATTCATATAAAAACTTAGATCAATACAACTATTATTTTATTTTTTAAATAATAATAATTCTGCATATAATAATAATTATACATGTAATAATAATCATTTTATATATGATAATAATCATTTTATATGTAATAATAATAATTTTATATATAATAATAATAATATAATTTATTAAATAATAGCTTGACTAATATAAAAATGAAAATAAATATGACTCACTTGAGTAATATGACCATTAAAATCAGTATTTTTTTGTTTTTTCCATTCAACTATTATTTGTTTAAAGAAAATTGACGTATAATAGCTTGTTTAATAGGATTTTTTTTTGGTTTCAATTGTATCATCACAAAGTACAATATAAGTACATTGTTGTTGATCATAGAATTTAATTCCCCAATCTTGCACATTTAAAATATTTGCTAATAATTGATTAGATGAGCTTCCATGAAATATGCATTTATATTTACTTTTTGTTGCCGAGTAAAAGTGTATATGATTTTGAAATATTGAATAAAATTGACTTTCAGTAGCAGGAACTAATACTGTTTGTTTTCCTAATTGTTTATATCCTCTTGGTAATCGTTTGTGAATATAATGAACTAAAATATCCTTGAATTGTTGTATAGTATTTTCTGGCAAAGTATCAAGATCTGGACGTGAAGCATTGTATTTTTTAACAATACTAAGATGCTTTGCTAATCCTCTACTTGTTTTGTATGAATTTCCACATACGTTACACTCAAACTTTGAGAAAACTGCCATTGCATTACTAAAATTTTAATCAAGCGTTATTATTACTGTATATACTTTAAATAATATATCAATATTAAAAAACATTAATAAATTAATATGTACCACAGAGATTAATTTTAAAGTAAATTTTAATAACAATAAAAGAGGATAGGTTTTTAATGATAAAAAAAAGAGATGGGTTTTGAGGTGGGAAGATGGGTTTGACGTAAAAATTATATTGATTTGGGATGCAATTTAATATATGCGTCATTTTGTTGACGTATAATTTAGCATAAAAATTTTAATTAATCAAATAGTAAATCAGGGGTTTTAATTTGGGTCCAATTCCAAAAATGCGCACGAATGATCTATCTCCGAGTTTAATTGTTCTGTATCTAAAAATTAATAAAGTCAGTATGATATAAATTACACTTTTTTTTTTAAAAAAAAAGATAATAAATTCGATACCTTTAAATTGACTAGCATTTGATATTAGCCTTAAATCAATCTGATTATGATATGAATTGTTTGGTGAGATACTTTGAACAATCTGATTTTCTAATTCTTGTTTATTTGGTGATAATAGAATTTATCAGAAGCTTTAAATTCATCATAATTTTTTAGATAATGCCATGAACAAATTATATCATAAATTTCAGATGAAGTAGGTCTTTTCTCAAGATCAGAATCTTTGCATTAGATGGACAAAACAAAGCGGTGTTCCATCTATTATTGAAGGTCGAGCACCATTACATATATCTAATGCTAGGTATTCATCATATTTACGATTATGAAATGGTAAAATTCCGGAAATAAATATCCACATAATAATTCCAAAACTATATATATCTGATTTAGGATTGAATGATCTATTTGCAAAAATTTCTGGTGCCATGAACGGAACTACACCGAATAGTAGAATCTTCATAACCAGAAGGACGTGATAATCAAAAATCAGAAATCTTAGATGTACTATTATAATTAAAATATTTCCCAATGAAGATCACGATGAGTTAAACTTTCCTTATGAATAATTTTAAGGCTATTTGCAATATTAGCAAGAATTGGTAATTTATTCTCAAGCCATCTTATTTGATTAAAATTTTTAGTTAAATATTTTAGCAAATCACTATCTTCTGCTAATTGTATTACAAGCATATATTCTTCAGTATATTTGGACACAGAAAGTTTAGTAAAGCTATAACAACGATGGATTAGTGAGATTCCATTCTTAAAACTAGATTTGTTCATATAGAAATTTGAAATTGTACAACATTTTATGTGCATACGAAGTTAAATATATATATTACATGTTAAACCATTTGTATAACTAAACGAATAATTGCTTTAGTTGGGAATATAATTACCTCTTCTAAATGTTGTGAGGAAACACCACTTTTGAGCGCAACATGAGTACTTCCAGTTCTTTCGAACTTATTTGAAATCATATATAGTGAGCCTTGTATCCAACCAGCGTTATAAATATTTCCAAATCCACCTTGACTGATCTTTTCTATATTTTCAAATTCTTCATATGGAATCCACTTTATGAAATCTTTGAATTCATTTGCGTTTCTTTTATTACTTCATCAATTCTTTGATTTCCACTAGTCCAGTTAATAAAATTTTTCTTAAAATATGTAGTTGCATATTCTTGACACCATGCTGCATGAGTTGTCTCTTTCACACATATTGAGCATAAAGGGAATATATTAGCACTATACTTGTGAATTTTAAAAATATGTTAATTAAAAGAAAAGAAACAATAGCAACTATTATGTTAACTATAAAACAAATTCTTTTGCTACGTCATGAACAAATCCTATACAACAGATACATAAAAGTAAGAATAATTCTGCAAAGCAAAAGAAATCAATAGTTTGAATAATCAAAATGTTTGAACCAGATGGAAAAATTGTTATATTATGATGAATCGCGAAGAAAAGTACTATCAACCATATAAATATTGCACCAGAAAATGCAACAAGTGAAAATCTTAAAGTTGAAATCAGATAAAGTATACAATATATAACTATAAACGATAAAGGATCAAATCCTGCAAAATTATGCAACTTTTTGGATATAATATTATTAATCGCTTATGAGCTAAAAATATTTCTTTAAAGATTCCTTTCAATTTTGAAAGCGTTTTTCTATTGGGATGAAAAAGAATGAAATAACAATAGTAAAAAAATGAATGTATGATAGATAAAAAACTGCGAGAATATAAAGTTATGAAAAGAAAAGGCAATATTATAATTGTGATATAGTCAAATTTCTCTAAAGGAACCATATGTAAAAAAATTACGTCTTTCCGATTAACTTATTAATTATTTAATATTAGATACCGATACAGTCAACTCTTTTTATAACAAACTAAGTTTTCTATACCAAACAATATGAAATTCAAAAATTTTTAATCCATTAAATATTAAAGAGAGTGACTGTACGACGTTGCAATCGCAAATTTATAGATCTTTCTTGTCATACCTCCAAAAGCCTAGGCTTATTTGACTAGGAAGCACGTATTGGAAAGTTTTTTTGGCGTACAGTACGCACGTACAAGATATTTTAACCAGATCATTATCGCTTTTGTAACTACCTTCAATTATTTTGAAATTATAATGCCAATGAGAAGCCAATTCAGATAATATTTAAAAAGATATTCCGCATCATTTTACAATTCATGACGTATATCATTTGTAAATATTTGTAAATTTAAATATAAGTAGATCAATATAATCTTCGTAACTGTAAGTATACGATAAAAAATTTTTTTTTGCTTTATAAAAATTAGCTAACGAAATTATACATCTATTGATGAGCTTGTTTATGAATGAAATGAGCAATGAATTTTTTTTCATACAATTTTAATAATTTTTATTCAATAATTTTTTTCTTAATTCTTTTTTTAACAGAATTTTTCTGCTCAATAAAATTTTTCTTTATAAAAAGCAAAGTACCTTTCAAATAGTATCTAGTGATCCTTTTTAAAATTTTTTTTCTTGTCTTATATAATCAAAGTATTATTAAGAATAATTTAATGAGCAGACTTAAATTTATTTTACTAAACGATTCTAATTGGTATTAAACAAAGCGAGGGCAGTATAAAGAATTATTTAATGAATCAAATGTATTAAAAATAAACCTGCATAATTTTTTAATTAATCAATCGAAATGATTTGCGTCCTTCATAAACCGCAAAATAAGGATGATGAAAATTGAATTCACTAAAAATAAGCATCTACGATTTGAGTTATTACTAAGCAAGTTATTTTATATTGTGCTTTATTATGTTACAAGTAGAGATGTTGATCGATAATGAAATGCTCGGTCATTTGTTTTGATTGATCGTAACCGATCATAAGAATTTGCTTTTAAAAAAAATTTTTTAACTTGATTATTCAGTACGAAACAGAAAGTCTAAAATGTCAAACAGATAAAGGTTAACTATCTCATTAGAGACAAGCTAAATTTGTAGTTTATTTATTCTTGCGTCTTATTTCGAAATAAGAGAAAGTTTCTAAATTTATACAGTCAACCTTTAATAAATACAAATTGTTCAATAAATGTGCATTTACAACGATTAAATTATTTGCACTTATCATTATAGAAAAGTGATATGTGAAGTACACTTGTAAATTGTGCGCAACAATAAATTATGTGCTAAATAGAATACGTGTTAATTCGGGACGTTAATTCAAGACATATAAGTTAGATCTAATTTTCAAAATAATGCTCACGAGTATTATTTCAAATAAATTCTTAAAAAAAATAGATTATAAAATGAAAAATTAACTTTGTATAGCCTAATCATTTATTAAATTTAGATTTTTATTTATGTGATACTTAAATATATTTTTTTTATTTAACAATATAAATAAGCTATAAATATTTATGAAATTGAGTAGCCTATTTGAATAATTTGATTGATGCATTAAATTAATACAAATGAGAAAATTAAATAGTAAATATTTATAAACTTTGATATCTTATTTAATGCATATATGTACCAAGTTCACATATATAAATGGTAAATAATATAAATTTAGATTAGAATTAGTATCTTAATCCAAATTTATTTATTCAGATTTATATGATATAATGTGGTATAGTATTTTTAAATATAAAGATATACGTACTATAATAAAAAGATATTTAAAAATATATTTAGATTAAGGTATTAACACTAATTTAGATAATTTAATACACATTATTTAAGATCTAAAGCAAATTATTAAGCTAGATAACTTACTTTGAATATTTATATTAATAAATATTCTGTATACAATATGTATTAAAATAAAATAAACTAATAGTGCAAATAAAATAAATAAAGTAATATATAAATATTTATGAGCATAATATTTTGATTAAATAATAAGATTATTATAAATATACAGTATATTCTTTATACTCACATACTAATATAAATATATAGTAATTTTTATAAACCTGGGTAGCTTAATTAGAGTTATTGCCTGCTTGAATATTCTAACTCAAGCTATATTGTGATATAGGTATAAGTTCAAGAGTCATAAATAAAATATAATTTTCTAATAGTTTAAAAATTTGATATAGTATTAATAATTTGTAATACAGTTTAGCTATAGCTCTAAGTAGTCTTAGTTTTATTTTATAAATACTTCAAGGTTTAATATATGGGGTTGAGTTAATAGAAATCAAGCAAATATTTTTTAATAAGTTTTTTTAAAACTTTAAACAAGAATAACTTAACAAAAACTTGATCAAATTTGATAAAATTTTTTTTAAACTAATTCTACAAGTTTATAAAAATTATTTAAAAAAATTTTTATTAAATTTGGTTATGTTTTTGTTAAGTTATTCTTGCTTAAAGTTATAAAAAGTTTTTATTATAAAAAATTTGCTTGATTTCTATTGACTCACCCTTATATACAGTAAATTTACTGTTTTTATAAATAAATAATTATTAATTATTAGAGTTCATAGCAAAAAATCCTAATTTTTTTTTTTTACTATTTAGTTAAAATTATTTTTATAACTAGAAGTAAAGTTTGTTTTTGGATTACTCTAAAATAAAAAGATTTGTTTTTAGATTCTAAAAATTTTTAAATTGTTCTTAATATAAAAGCAATTAACAATTAATATAAATACTCAAGCTGCAAATTTACAACATAGCTATTATATTTATAAAGCAAGTTATATTATATTTTAGTTATATATTAATAATAAATAATTATAATTAACTATATATTAATTTAAAAAAATTAATATTAAAAAGAATAAATACAAAGTATTTAAATATTATTAAAAATTTGATAGTAATTTAATTTTAAACTATAATACTAACTCTAACTTAAGCTGAGTATTTAATTATATAATTAAGTTTCTTTTCTTTAAACTATCTAAATTAAACTTAATAAATTAATTATTAGTAAATTAAATATTAGTAAAATAAATATACTAGTAAAATAAATATATTGCCAATTAATAGTTAGTAATTTAAATATTTGTAAAATAAACTTGTTATAAAGTTTTGTGTCTACAAAAAGAGTATCAGTAAAGTAAGCAGAAATAGTTTAATAAATAATATTAAGTTTACTTAATTAAATTAAAGCAAAATTGTTAATATATATAAGCATAAAAGGTTTTAATAATAATTATATTTTATTGTTAATTATTTTTTAAACTAAATTGCTAAATATATATAGTTTTTTTCTTTTGTTTTTCTTTTCTTTTCCTTTTCTTTTCCTAAACTAGCTTCAAGCTTTTTTAAATTTCTTTTGTAATTGTAGCTAGTGGGTTCTCTTCTTGGATAAAAATAAGATTTAACTCTTTTGCCTGGATCTAGATAGAAAAAATTGTAAAGGAAAAAGAATATGATCATAATTGGCTGCAAGGTCTAGTTAGTGAACCCCTTTAGCAGGTAACCCTAATACAAGGGGGAAACAAATTCTTGTTTTGGCAGATCATGAATAGGTACCCATGATAACCAGATGAGTTATATTTTAGTTGTAAGGTATTCAATATCAGAGATAGTAATAGCATTTGATAATATAATTACTTTATTTCTGAATAAAATATGACATGATTGTTAAAAAAAAAAATATATATATTATAGTATTTTAGCATATTATTGCAATAGTAATATAATATTTAAATACAACAAAATTATATTATAGTATTTTAATATAACTAAATTATAGTATTATAATATTATAGTATTGCAGTATTATAATATTATAGCATTATAGTATTATAGTACAGTAGCCAACAAAAGTAACGCCCGATTTTGGCTCAAAATGGGAATTTTTTTATTAATAAAAATTTGACCGCACATACATAATATTTTTTTTATTTTTATTTAATATTTTGATGAATGACTATCTGCATTTGCAATAGCCTCGTTTCTTCGTGTCATTGAGTCTGAAACTACACGAAGAACTGACGTATCCAAATTCGACCAAGCCTCCATCAAGGCCACCTTAAGCACAGATTTATTACGGGGGAAGTCATCACGGTTCTGAATATTGTCCTTCATGATCCTCCAAATATTTTCTATGGGATTTAGGTCAGAGAATCATGAAGGCCAATTCATATAATCTATTTTTTTTGATTTTAACCAATTCAACACCTTGTGAACAGGAGCATTATCATGCTGAAAAATCAAATAGGAGTTGAG